AAAGGTTGTAACCCAGACCAAGGATGATTTTGCATCTCGCGTGTCTTTTAGGTCTAAGATCATCATTTGGTGTGGGCTAGCTTTGTGCCTATCATCTAAAATGGTTAGTACAATTAAAAAGAATAAATTTAAACCTTGCATAAACGATACCTGACCGGAGGCTTTCCTTTTCAGAAGTAATACTTTTTCAAATGAACAGCATTCCAATTTAATGGGAGTACTTTGCCATCCATTGTTTCTAACTCATATGCACCCTTTCCTGCAATACCTCGAATCTTGTAAGGTTCTTCCCAGTTTGGGATCAACCTTCCTGCGTTGGCTGCTTTCGTTGATTGAAAAACTTTTTTGAGTACGAAGTCCCCAATCTTGAAGTACCTAAGATGAGCTTTCCGATTGTAATATCGCTCTATAATTTGCTTCTGCGCTGCCATCCTTATCAAGGCTGCTTCCCTCTTTTCTTCAAGCAAATCGAGATTTATTCGCATCTCTTTCACATTTGACTCTTCGGTTGCTTGAGTGTATCTCGTACTTGGTTCACCTATTTCAACTGGAATTAAGGCTTCAGCACCATACACAAGTGAGAAGGAGTCTCTCCCGTACCTGTTTTTGTTGAGCTCATAAGACTCCTGGTAACACTTCTGGTCATCTTCCTTTTGACTCCTCTAATCTTTTCTTTAGATTATTAATAATAACCTTGTTTATTGATTCAGATTGTCCATTGGCCACAGGATGATAAGGTGTTGAAGTTATCCTTTTAATTTGCCAACTCTGAAAGAATTCTGTGATTTTCGCACCTATGAACTGCAGACCGTTATCACACAAGATTTCTTTTGGAACCCCAAACCGACATATGATGTTTCGCCAAATGAAGTCCCTGACTTCTTTTTCTCGTACCTGTTTGAAGGCACCTGTTTCTACCCACTTGGTAAAATAATCAGTTAGTACTAATAAAAATCGTACCTTTCCTTTAGCTTGTGGCAGTGGACCCACGATATCCACCCCCTACTTCATAAAAGGCCATGGTGCAATAACCGGATGTAATAACTCCGTTGGGCGATGCATATTGTTACTATACCTTTGGGATTTGTCACATTTAGCCACAAAGCTTTCTGCCCCTTCTTCCATTTTAGGCCAATAATACCCTGCTCTAATCAGGATTTTTACCAAGTATCTTCCTCCTACGTGATTTCCACAGTGTCCTTCATGTACTTCTCTCATCACACTCTGTCTGAGAAGGTCCGAGACACCTTGCTAAAGGTCCACCGGACATCTTTCGGTATAAGTTGCCTCGATCCAAACACTAACGGGCAGCTTTTCGTCGAAGTGCCTCCTTTTTCTTATCCTCGGGTAGAATTCCGTACTGCAAAAAATTAACGATCTCGTTTCTCCAATCCCAGGTTAAATTATTGAAATTTACCTCGTTTTTATCTTGATCCAATGCTGAATGAAAATGTATTGCGGAAGCATTTTCTTCATTTGTCACTTCTGCAGCAGACGCAAGATTAGCCAAAGCGTATGCCTCGACATTTTCTTCCTTGGGTATTTGCACGATTTTCCAAGACTGGAATTACCTGATCAAATCTCGTGCCTTTTCCAAATATTGTTGCATCCTCGCCTCTCTAGCTATATAAGTCCCCTACATTTGATTAACTACAAGCTGCGAGTCGCTTTTTCTTATAACCAGCTCTATTCCGAGCTCTCGCGCCAATTCTAGACCTGCAATCACAGCTTCATAGTCTGCTTCACTGTTAGTAATGGGATGGTGCTTTATGGCTTGCCTTATAGTTTCTCCCGAAGGTGGGATTAGAATGATGCCTAAACCCGCTACTTTAACATTCGAGGAGCCATCAGTAAATAGGGTCCAAGTACCTGAATTAGACCCGTTAAATACCTGCAGTTCCTTTTCTGCTTCTGTTGCCATCCCTGGGCTGAAGTCTGCCACGAAATCTGCTAAAACCTGTGATTTTATCGCAGTTCTAGGTTGATATGTAATATCATATTCACTTAGTTCTATGGCCCACTTGGCTAATCTACCTGATAATTCTTGCTTATGCAATATATTTCATAAGGGGTAAGCGGTCACCACAGAGATAGGGTGACATTGAAAATAAGGCCTAAACTTTCTAGATGCCATTATTAATGCTAAAGCAAGTTTTTCTAAATGAGGATATCGAGTTTCAGCATCCAATAAGGACTTGCTAACATAATAAATTGGAGATTGTTTACCTTTGTCTTCCCGAACTAATACTGCTTACCGCCACTTCTGAAACAGCAAGATAGATAAGTAGCTATTCTCCGTCCTTTGGTTTAGCCAGCAACGGTGAGTTTGACAAGTATGCTTTTAGATTTTTGAGTGCTTGTTGGCATTCCTCAGTCCACTCAAATTGACTTTGCTTTTTCAATACTGAAAAGAACTTAAAACTTTTCTCTGAAGATTTAGAAATAAACATTCCCAATGCTGCTATCCTACATGTCAGCCTCTGCACCTCTTTTTTGCTTGTGAGTATATCCGGTACCTCTTCGATGGCTTTAATCTATGCTGGATTTACTTCAATTCCTCGGTTAGAAACAAGGAAACCTAAAAGCTTACCTGAAGATACGCCAAATGCACACTTCTCTGGGTTTAACTTATATTGAATTTGCGGAGAATCTGAAATGTATCTGACAGATGTGGATATGATCCCCCGCCTGTTGTGACTTGACTAGCATATCATCGATATAAACCTCCATGGTTTTTCCCAGATGCTCTTGAAACTTCGTTACTAATCTCTACTACATGGCTACAGTGTTCTTTAGGCCGAAAAGCATAACTTTATAACAATAAGTCCCCCTGTCTGTAATAAAGGAAGTTTTTTACTCGTCTGAAGGATCCATTTTTATTTGATTATATCCTGAGTAGGCATCTAAAAAACTCAACAATTCGTGTTCTGCAGTAGCATCAATTAGTTGATCTATGTGTGGTAGAGAAAAGGAATCTTTAGGGCAAGCTTTATTCAAGTCAGTATAGTCTACACAAACTCACCACTTACCATTCTTTTTGGGTACCACTACAGTATTAGCTAGCCAATTAGGATATTTTACCTCTCGGATAGACCCGATTTTAAAAATTTTTTTACCTCATCCTGAATCACCTGATTTTTGAAGGATCCTTGCTTCTTTTTCTTCTGTTTGCCAGGTGGGTGTGTTGGATCTTCATTCAGCTTATGGGTCATTACCTCCAGGGGTATACCTGTCATATCTAAATGCGACCAAGCAAAGCAATCTGCGTTAGCTTTTAAGAATTCAATTAACTTACCTTTCATCTCTGGGCTCAGGTTGGTTCCGATGTAAACTTTTCTGTCCGGCCAATGTATGAACAGCACCACAGCTTCGAGTTCCTCAATTGTTGTTTTGATGTCTTCATTCTCTTCTAGCTCTTGAATAGTATCAGGCCTTGAGTCTACATCCGTTCGTCCATCTCCAGTTGAGGTTTGAGTTGTTAAAACCTCAACTGAATTCTGTAATTGTTGTTTTTCATTTGTAACGTCATTTTGTATGCTTGAATCTGCCACTGAATTGATACTTCTAGAAGCCTGTTGATCATCACGAATCTGTCTAATTCCCCATTGCGAAGGGAACTTAATAACCTGATGCAAAGTAGACGGTACAACATCTATCTCGTGAATCCAAGGTCTGCCGAGAATCATATTGTATGCCATGTCCATATGTATCACTTGAAATTTCGTATCCTTGACTACTTCTTTTGCGAATGTGGTGAGCATTATCTCCCTTTTGTAACAACGCTTGAATTGTCAAATCCAGATAAGGTACGTGCTTTGGGTGCCAATTTGTCATCAGCTTGCATTTCGTTTACCACTATTAAAAGAGTGATATTTATAGAGCTACCTGGATCAATCAAAACTCGTTTCACATTAGTATCTTGTACAAGTAAAGATATTACCAGTGCATCATTGTGTGCGATCAACACACCATCTACATTTGCATCATCAAATGTTATATTGTCTTCTTCCAAAACTAGGCGAACTCGTTTTCCGTGGGTGACTGTGATTTTTGACACCTTTTTTGCAGTTGTATATGTCACACCGTTAACCTCTTCCCATCCGCTTATGACATTAACCGTTCTTTTTGGTGACAGAGGTTTTGGTGGCTCTTGTCTATTCTTCATATACACTTGCTTTCCCTTCTCACTAAACAAATCGTTTAAGTAACCTTGTTTTAATAAGTGTTCTACTTCACCTTGTAGTATTCTGCAATCTGTTGTTTTGTGACCGTGATCATTATGAAACTTGCACCAGAAATCTGGGTTTTTTCTGTTGGGGTTCGATCTCATTTCTTTTGGCCACCGCACCTTATCTCCCATGCTTCTCAGAACAGCTACCAACTCTAATGTACTAACATTAAAACTGTATCCACCAATCCTTGCTTTTGTACTTCTGTCGATGTCCTGTGTGTCTTGCTCCTTCCCAAATTTGGATGACGAACCCGCGTCTCTGTCCCTTGATCTGGAACCGTACCTCGGATTCTCCTGTTTAGATCGTGAATCCCTTCCTGCTGGTCCCATGTAAGGCTCGTAACTGTTCTTACCGGACCTTTTTTCAGTTTCCAGTCGCCTCGAACTTACTCTTTCATCTCCCCGTGACTGAATGATAATATCTTCTTCTATCCGCAGCTTCGTGCTATATCTATTGTAAACATCATTCCAGGTTGTCGCAGGGAATTCTCGTAAACTTTCTTTCAGTATCTTCGTTGCTTCTGAGCTTTTTTCGTTTAGGTTACTTGCAAATGCCATAGCCACCCAATTATCAGGTACACGTGGTAACATCATACTTTCACGCTGGAATCTATTCACGAATTTCCTGAGTAGCTCCATATCTCCTTGTCTTATTTTGAAGATGTCTTCCATCCTCTTTTTGACCTTTTGAGCTCCCTAGTGTGCTTTTATAAATGAATCTGCAAGCTCAGCAAAAGAATCGATAGAATTTTCAGGTAAAAGAAAATACCATGTTAGAGCTCCTTTTTGTGAGTGTTTCACCAAATTTTTTGACCAGCACTGACTCAATTTCTTGCTTGGTCAAGTCGTTGCCTTTCACGCCAGTTGTAAATGCAGTTACATGATCTCGTGGATCGGTTGTCCCATCATACATCGGGATATCGGACATCTTAAACTTTCTAAAGGAGCGGCACTTCCAGGGTTGTTGAGAATATTTATCAATATCCACCTCTTTGATTAAGGGTGGAACACCAAGTATTTGCTCTATGCGATCGTTCTACTCCTTGAGCTGTTTCTGCAAAGTTAGTACTAAACTTTGTAAATCAGAATTAATTAGAATACCTGACCTTTCATCACGAGATTCGCTGGGAGTACCTCCACTGCCTGAATTGGCAAGTCCAGAGTGTGGATTATCTATGGTTGCGGTGTTATTCGGAGGTGGAGTTAATGGTACAGTTGGCAACCCACTAACAAAAGCTTGAAGAGCATAGTTGACCTGTTCTACAATTAGTTGCTTCGATGCTCCATCGATAGCTTGATCATCCCCTTGTTGGTCATTCGTATGTGATGTTCATCTGTCAAGTGACCCTTCTCGGGACTGTTGAGGAGAGTTTCGTGGTGAAGGGACTGGAGTTCCATCCCCTTGTTGATTCTACTGGTTCAACTGGTTTTGCTGATTTTGTTGATCGNTGGCCGAAGCATCCATCTCCTCCAAAGCTCGTGCCTATGCTTGAGCCCTTAGTCTCCGCAAGCAATTCTAACGCGGTTGACGTCGCCTTGAGGGAGTTCAAAGCCTCTGACTTTTCCGCAGCTGATACAGCAAAGAGGAATCAGCCTCAAGGCCAGAAAGAAGCAAAACACACACCCAAAAATTGTGTAATTCGATCAAAGCTTATTTTAAGAAGTACTCGGGCTTCTGATAATCCAGGAATTCTAAGTTTACTTGATGATAAGAAAGGAAATTAAAATATGTGGTAGCAAAAATAGCCAATAGTAAGTAAAAGAAAGTAATTGTATTCCAATAGTAATCAGAACGTGTATGTACAAATGATATCTCTTTCCTTTTTATAGGAGTCTATAAGTACAACATCTTTTCCCTTTTATAACCGAATCATTATGAGCATTAATGATATTAATGAGACGTTATAATTGGTAACCGTAACTGTTTATGAAGATTTTGTAATGTTCGAGATCATTCATGCTCCTTAACTGATGATTCATGAATCTTTCCTTTTTAATGTTTTGATTCATTCCGCCGGTACCTCTTCATGTAATCATTTAAACTTGAGTGACCTTATCTTCTCCTCTCGGGGTAATTTGCTCGTATCTATTACGACTCGTGACTCTTTAATGCATCTTTCCAGCTGTCGCTTTCTTACTAATGCACATGTCTTGTCATATCAGCCACTCATATAAATCCACGTGTAATATTTATTTTTACCAATACAAGCACAACATTCAAGAATTCTGATTTATTATACTAATTAAAATTTTAACTTTGAAAATGAGAAGCACCACAGACTGAGGGAAAAAAAGGGTAAATTGGGGAAAGTCATACAGTGAGGCGAGGAGGAACTTTGAAGGTGCAAAGAACTTGACCCGGTTCAACTCGGTCAACTCGGATGCCTCTGAGCGCATAATACTCATAGAAGCTACAGTCCGTGCCGACCCGGTGAGGATGAAATGCAAGAGATGAAACCCGGTCCGATTCTCCCTGTTTTGGTTCAAGATAAGCTTTCGCTTTGTCCATTTGCTTCGTCTTCTCGGTCTGGTTGTAGAATCTTGGCGTTTCCCTCAATTTTATAAGCCTGATTGTTCTTGAGTTTTTGGCTAATTATGTCTGCAACGAATTGATAACAAGTATCTTCCTATAAAAATGCAGAAATGAATGTGAAAAGTTGATTAAAAAGAGAAATTTGGGTAACCAGTGATGACTATAGGGATTGGACAAAAACCTGTCTCTCTTGGGCTAGCGGGTTTAACGTGAAGTAAAGGGATGAACAAGTAAATATATACTCCATTATTTTGGCGAAACTATTTTCTTTGATGATTGCAATGTAAGAGAGTACCTTCAAAAAATTTAAGAATATTAAGAGCCTGTTTTAAGCCATTTTTAGATGTCGGGGAGTGTTTGGCAAAAAAAAAAAAACAGCTTAAAAAAGTTAAAACTGGCTTAAAAAAAGCCAAAAGCCACAAGTTGGTTGATCCCAACTTTTTTTTCCAGCTTAAAAGCCAACTATCTTTGACCAAGTATTTTACCCTCTTGTCCCTAATAATATTTATTATTTCAAAAATGTCCTTCACAAACTTTTGAAATAATTATATCCAACTCAAACTTTTAAAATTTGTTAGAACGTGAACTTCATTTGAAGTTTAGCTTTGCTTTGAAAGGTGAATACGACATCATTGTAATTTCTTATTAACTATACGTACAATTTTCAAATAACTTTAAAAGGTACAAGTTTATTTTATTTTGATTTCCTAAATATTAGCAATTTTTACATAGTTCAAATAAGGAATAGAATAAGAAAATGTGATAGCCATTTCATATGTTTTCCCAGTAAGCTTGGAATTTCAAGAAATAAATAAAAACTTTACATGGTTGAAAGAAGTGAAAAATAAGAGTTCAACAATTATATTTATAAAAATTATCTTAGGTGATCAGTTCAAATATTAATTATTTGGTATTTATATTAATAAGTTTGAAATAAAATACTATAGTAATAAGGTTCTTTATGGTGTTAACAGCTTTAAGGATATTTCAGTCATTTTAATAGAAAAAGTGCTTACCAGCACTTGTTTACCAAACATTTCAACAGCTTTTTTTCAGCTCCAGCACTTTTATCCAAACGCATAACTGCTTATTTATAAAACCAGCTCCAGCACATAATCCAAACGGGCTCTAATTATGGTCAAGTGCTTAAAAGCTACTTTTTTTAAGCCAATCCAAACGGGCTCTAATTATGGTGACTTACTGTGCTATTTTTTAGGCCAAATACATAAGCAAACCCTTAAATTGTCCTTACTTTTCACTTAGACATTCCATCTTAACTATGTTCCATTTGAATACTTTAACGGGATATTAACAGTGTCATTTAGGTACAAAATTGATAGGCAGCCAAACACAAAATAGACGTATAACTCACACGCCAGGGTGACGAATAAGATGAAAACACGTGGATTTAACTTAAACAAGTTACAAAAAGTTTTGACAAAAGAAAAATTAAAAGATAAACAAGAAACCCCCCCCCCCTTGTCATCTGCCTGACGACCCCCCTCCCTCCGTCTTCTTCTACCAAGAACGAAGCTCCCATGTCATCTTCTCACAGATTCACTCTTACTTCCTCCTAACTCCTCCCCCTACCCCTACCCCCTCCCCCTACCCCTCCCCCCCCCCCCCCAATCATCTACAACATTAAAAACAACTATAAAACATAGAAATCAACCAGTAATAATTTTTCTATCATTAAGGATTAACCCCAAATTGCCAGAAAATAAATCCACCAACAAATTCCCCCAGATTTTAGTGATGCCCCAAAGTAAAATCACTACCAACAAGCTCGTCGGTGCCTGAACCTCCGTATTTCAAATTCAAAAAAAAACTATTCTTCCATAATTATGCGGATATTGACCTTATATCTGAAGAGAGAAGGGTCAGAATTGGGTGGGAAGCACGAACAACCTGCAGAATGAATTAGGAGCTTTAGTTTTTGATAAATTTGGATAATGGAGAGGGTACATGGATTGGTGACATGGGATCTGGGTATGGTGAAATCGGGCAGCGGGTCTTTAATGGTGGCTAATTGGAGAAGAAAGAATTTGAGTTGAGAAAAGAGTAATGAGTCGAAGAAGAATAAATGTGTGAAATTTTTTCCAGCAATCTTCACTTATTCCGGCAATGAAAACTAAAGCATACCATGGTGTGATAGAACATGAGGAAAAAGAAAGAGAAATTTTTTTTAAAAAGAAAAATAAATCTCTCACGCTCTGGAAAAAGGTGTAATACACGCACTATGCCATATCACCAATTTGTGTCTAAATGGAACATATGAGATATGGTTGAAGTGTTCAACTGGAACAGATTTAAGACAGAGTGTGTAAGTGAAAAGTGAGGACAACTTTAAGGGGCTGCCGATGTATTTGGCCTATTTTTTATATACGTTTTAAATATATCAATTTTATTTCAAAAAGTGTTAGGAGTCTAGAGATGGGCTAAAACAGATGCGGCCCAGGCCCATTTATTGTCTATTCATATATATTAGATTAGGTCCATTAGTTTCTTTCTTTAATCTAACCAGATATTGGGCCACAAAGGGACCGGTTATAAAACAGATTATTCATTTTCTGTTTTTCATCAATGAGAAATATCTCGAACTTCCTCACTATCTTTCCTTAACCCTAAATTCTTCCCCTCCAAGAATGATGACCTTTAACATGGTATCAGAGCACAAATCCGTGCTCGTCTAGTGTCACGCTTCCGATCGATTCTACCCTCGCCGTTTTTCATTGAATTTTCCAAGTTCGACAGTGTTGTCGATTCTGTGGTTTTTTTGGTTGATTTTTCTATTTCTGGTGGGTTTTATCTGCGCGATGGAGTTTTTCGGTATCTAATCTGAAGGATTCATTGATATTCTTCAGGATTTGACTATTTCCGAGCTAGGGTTTTGAGCTAGGGCTCTTTGCTCCATCTTTTCTTATCATTGAAGGCCGTCCTCTGTGATGACCCAAAAGGTCATCACTCATTTTGAAAGTAAATTCTGTGTTCCAAGGCCTTAAAACCTCTTTTTGCCCCACCTCGGTTTGCGTGCGCAGTCCGAGCGCATTTCCGGAAAGCTTTTATGTGAAAACTAAGTAAAACATGGAAATTGACTTGTAAAATTGAATAAAGTTGACTTTGGTCAACATTCTTGGTAAACGGACCGGGACCCGTGATCTGACGGTCTCGTAGGATCCGTAGTAAAATATGGGACTTGGGCGTATGCCCGGAATCGAATTCCGAGGTCCCAAGCCCGAGAAATAAATTTTTAAAGAAAATTGTTTTCTGGAAAATGTAAAGGTTTTTAGAAGTTAATAGATGCATTTTCTTGGTGGTATCGGGCCCGTATCTTGGTTTCGGAGCCCGGTACAAGTTTAAAATAATGATTAAGTTGAATCTGTAAAATTTGGTAAATATCGGAATTGGTTTGGTATAAAACGGACCTATAGTTGAAAAAATAATAATTTTGATGTTCTAGAGTTATTTCATGAATTTGAGGTTCAATTCATAGATGTTGATGTTATTTTGATGATTTGATCGCACGAGCAAGTCCGTACGATATTTTTGGACCTGCGTGCATGATTGGTTTGGAGCCCCGAGGGCACGGGTGAGTTTTGGATAGGCCACGGAGTGCATTTAGACTTAGAAAATAACTATTGCAGCTTCAGACAAGTTGCAGGTCTCTGAACCAGGCTTCACGGTCCGCGGTGGAGTTGTTGCAACCGCGGTGGGATTGATGTTGTCCGCGGTGGGCAAGGCGAGGTCTTTGCAGCCGCGCTCGATATTTCGCGGTCCGCGGTGGAGCTCCGCGATCGCAATCCTTTTTCTGCGGTCAGCGGTGAGGATCTGACAGGGGTATATATAAACGAGTCTTTTCAGCCATTTTTCATTTTTCAAAAACCTAAAACATAAGAGGCGATTTTTCAAACACTCTTTCTTCCCCAAAACACAAGTAAGTGATTTTAAACTCATTTCTTTCACTCCTTAACTTCTTTTTACAAGATTTCATCTTAGAATCTAAGGTTTTCATGGTGGAATTAGGAATTTTGGATAGAACTTAGAAATATTAAAAATTGGGGATTTAGACCTCAAATTGAGCTCGGATTCCAAAACCAATTGTATATCCGGGCTCGGGGGTGAATGGGTAATCGGGTTTTGGTCCGAATTTCGGGTTGGGACCAAGCGGGCCCGAGGGTCGATTTTTGGCTTTTTGGGGAAATCATTTGAAAACCTATTTTCATGCATTAGAATTGATTCAGTTAGCATTTATTAATAGTATTAATTAAATTGTGGCTAGATACAAGCAAATTGGTGGTGGAAACAAGAGGTAAAGCGGTAGTTGAGGCTTGAATTGTGTTCGTGGCATCGAGGTAAGTGTTTAGTCTAACCTTAGCTTGAGGGATTAGGAGTTGTGTCTTATTTGCTATGTGTTAATTGTTGAGTACGACGTATAGGCATGGTGAAGAGTATCTATACGTCGGTGTCAAGCATGCCCGTGAGTCTTATACTTTGATAAATGTGACTCCGTTTCGTATTGTTCATGCTTTATGTGATGATATCTATTGTTGAACAAGGCTTGTGAAAGTATTACTGGTAATTGAACATTGTAGAGCGTTGGCTCAAGTTGTGAATTGATTTGTGGAAGTATTATTAGTAATTGAACATTGTAGAGCGCTGGCTCAAGTTTTGAATTGAGTTGTGAAGTAATTGTGGAAAAGAGAAGAGGTTTATGAAATTGTCTCCCTTGCCGGGATGTTATTGCTTTTGATATTATCTCCCTTGCCGTGATGTTATTGCTTTTGATATTATCCCCCTTACCGGGATGTTATTGCCTTTGATATTGTTTTCCCTTGCCGGGATATTGTTGTTATACTATTGTTTCCTTGCCGG